GATGTGTCGGAATGCTCGGTTTTATCCTTTAGTTGACAGCCATAAAGGTCTTAGAACATCGGTGTTTTGGTGAGGCTTTGGAGGCATCTAACAGGTTGTGGTGCTGCTGCGCCTACGGCTGGGCTTGAGGAATTTCGGGCATTCATCATGGAGTTTTGAAGCTTGAACTCTTGGGGTGTCGGCCGGAAGCTTTGAAAATGGTCATTGTGGACATCAGCCAGGGCTTGTGATCCCCTCCTGATTCGAACAGCAGGTTAAACGGAATGCTGGTCGTGCCCGGCCGTGCGACATGCCAAAATACTTCTGTAATCAGGATGCGCACATAGGCGGCTGCATTGTGGGTCCGAATTCCTGAACCATACCAGACTTGAGACCGTAGGCCCTTGACGCTAAAGCGAGGTGTTCGAGTGTGTAGAGGAGCCCTCCACACCCCGAACATCCCAAACCCTAATCCCCCTAAAGTGGCCTTGCAGGCACCACAGTCAGTGCCTAGGAACCCTCACCAGTAGGCATTGATCCTAGCCATGTTAGAGGGAAAGAAATATAAAGAACAAATTCGGTTGGCACTGTACAGTAGCGCCGGTTCCTCCAAGGTCCCTAGGACGGCCGGAGAAGCCCCGCCGGCCCGGGCCATGCCCACTCTCAGAACTGCCGGCACCTCAGGGCAACACTTCGTCGCCGACGAAGTGATGTTGTTTGCAGCCAACCCTCGGAACTCTTGATTAATTTCCCGACTTCCGAAATCCCGGATCCCGAAGCCTGAATGCGCCCCTCTTCTGAAGACCTCAGGGTAGTATACTTTGCAGATGCGCGTTTGCAGAGGTTGCCCGCCCCATCGGCATATGCGCACGAGCCTGAGCTACTGCCGCGCTTGAGCATTTTAACCTTTGGACTCTATAGGCTTGGAGTGTGGGAGGCAGGGCCATGTGGGGTTTGGGGCCATGTATGGGGCCTTGCTTTGACTAGGGCTTTTAACCTGAAGTTTGTCAGTTGAAGGCGTTGAAACCTAGTATCGTAAACGCTCAAGTGCAAGCCCTGCAGAGACCCGTGAGATGCCAAACCCTGAAGCTGGCGCTGGCAAGCGATTGTGTAAGCAGGCTGCAGGCTGAAGCTAGAGGTTTGTAGCTTGCCATGGCTTGTCCCTTTGGCCGTTTTCATGCGGGAAATGATCGCCGTTGTTTTTGGTGTGACTCTTGCTAGAGCCCGTTGTGCCGTTCTTGTCTTTTCATGGTATGCGCGATAGGCCTGCGAAGACTTGACCATACTTGACCTGCTTTTCAAGGTCCTGGCCCGTGACGCCAGCGTCGGTACCACCTGCTTCAGTACCGCCCACTCCTAGCAGAGGCTTGAGTGTTTTGGGATCTTCGCGGTGTTCAGGATAGAGGGTTCAAACTCAAAGAGATGCACATCTATGGCTATCGCATCATCCTTCTCACCATCATGTTTCGAAAAATGTCGTGCTCGTGCATTGAACCGTTTCAGTTCACGTTCTGCTGGTTTCGCGGGCTTGCAACTGCAAATTAGGCCCCTTATTTCGGAAACTTGGAGGTAACCTTTAGAAACTTTAGATCCTTTAACGGAAGCTTTTCTGTAGTCTTATACTTAAAGAAGCCAAACAAGGTGGGCATCGCAGCTTCGACCTTGAAGCCTAGAGAGATCCGAGCCGTGAGGGTCCGAGACTTCGACGAGCTGCAGATGCCCCACATCAAATCCCAAGGCTCCCCATTCCGCACCCGAAGTTGAAAGCCTGGAGCCGAATCTCTCTAAGTACATTGGCCTCACCTCTTCCGCCCATTCGCTACAGTCGAAACCCTATAATTTTAAAGTGCGCCCTGACTGCAGGTGTTCCGCCTGTTCCCGTGTTGTCAAGCGGCCCGCCGACCCCTTCAGGCCGTGCTTTGCAGATGTGCTCCTTAGAAGGATCCCTGGTTTTGACAGGCCGCTTCTATGTGCCCGGCTGACGGAAAGCCCACCACAAACCAAGCGCAGATTCCATGTTGACGGCCTATAAGACCCTATGAGAGAGGTACAGTAGCACAGAGAACGAAATACTCCACGCCAGGCAAGGCCAAAACCCCTGCCCTGATGCAGCAGAAGCAGCAACAGTAGTACATCGTCCTTCAGACCGTCATTAATCTTTTTCGCTCTGTTTCACAGCGCTCTCCCTATGGATTCCCTTACACATCTGGTGCGATGGTTTTGTGAGATTCAGTGGGCATCAGCTGTTTGGGGCTGCGGGTTTATGGTTTCTAGTTTTCCGGCAGAATGTATATCTGAGCTGGCCCTGTCTGCGTGGCAAGATGCTGTTAGCCTGCAGTCCTCAGCCCCGAAGTCTCCAAGGGTTTACTGTAGGGTTGAAATGTCCCACCCCTAACACTATTCTAGCTATTCAGGCCACTTTGTCGCTCTGCCTATTTTTTCCTGGCTTGCCCAGGGGCTGCGGCACCGGCCCCCTTTGCGGACGCCTCGCAGCGTGGGCTTCATCGACCAGTGAGGGTCCGAGAGTGAGAGCTTCCTAGTGCTGTCCTTTCCGGTCTGCCTGATTCGTGCTGACAAAAGATCAGGAAGGCTCTTTAGTAGTATTGGTATAAACGTTGCTAGAAGCAGACCTTGTCAGGGTCCATCCGACGATGAGACAGAACACTTCTGTTTTGTCTGCTTCAGAGCTCAGACGTCTTCTTATTCATGGTTCTCCGTCGGAGGTCCGTTTGATGTTTGTCTTCCTGTTTGTCGCTAATTTTCGGATTTGTCATGCACCTCGCCTCCTCCCTTGTGCTGCGAACACGGATAGATACGCACACACGAATGGGAGGCCCTGCAGGCGATGGCATTCCAAGCTTCTGGGTCGAGTCGGCAAGACTCAGGAGCTGCACTCCGCAACCTCCGAGGAAGACGCCCTTCTGGCCTCCTGGCCCTCACACTGTCTTCTAGGGCTTTAGGGCTTCAGGGTTCCAGACCGTACACTACCCAGTCTCAAGACCCTGAAAGAAAGTAGTCGTGTAGGAGTCGGAGTGGTAGTAGTCGTCGTCGTCGTCGTCCTCGTCGTCGTCGTCGTGGTCGTGGTCGCGGTCGCAGTCGCAATCGTAATCGTAGTCGTAGTCGTAGTCGTAGTCGTAGTCGTCGTCGTAGTAGTAGTAGTAGCAGTAGTAGTAGTAGCAGCAGGAGCAGTAGCAGTAGCAGTAGCGGTAGCGGTAGCCGTAGCAGTAGCAGTAGCAGTA